GTATGTCCTGTTTTGCTTGTTTTTTTTTTATTTGACAAAATTATGATGATGATGATGATGATGAGAGCTAGATGATGAGTACACCGCCACAAAGAGGCGAATCGTTAATTAAGATTTGTGATCATTTGATGTACCAGGAACTGAAATGGAGCAAAAGAAAATTCCTTCATTTCATTCATCATCATCATCATTCGGTTTCATTTTTTTGTGTATGTATGAATTGGTTTGACCTAAATTTATTATCTATTGATTTGGATGATTTGTATCATACATAAATGATCCACATTTTGAATGCACATTAAGAATGTGGTAGAAGAAAATGGAGAAAAAACACACACACACACACAAACAAACACACCTGCTCGATTCACATCATCATTTTTTTTTTGCTCGTTATTTAGATGGATCTTTTTTTTTTTTTTTAATTCTCTAATTATGATTGATTGATTGATTGATTAATCGATAAATTATCATATTATGTGTGTGTGTGTGTGTGTGTGTGTGTGAAAAAGAAAACAAATGATAAATTCAATGTGAATGAAATGAAATGAAAAAAAATTGGTTGAAAACAACATCCAATCTGATGCAAAATGAAAAGACTGAATTCACACAAAAAATGAATGGATGAATGAATCAACCAAATGCTGCAAATGCAAATTTTGTTGTTTTTTGTTTTTTTTTTGCTTTCTGATGTTTTTGTTTTGTGTGTGTGTGTGTGTTGCTTGCAATTGCAGAAAACCAAAATTATTTCCACTTTTTCTAACAAACGCACACACACACACACACACACACACACTGTTAAATAAAAGTTAAATTAATGGCTTTAGATTATGGTTGAATGGTATAGAGAAAAAAAATTTCCGAAATTCAAATTTCTCAAATTTTCTCATTTGTTTTTTTTCCCAGTTTTTGTTTTGTCATCATTTTTTTTCTCTCTCTATTTTTCTTCGATGTTGAATCCCAATTTTGTTCATCACACACATAAAGATTTGTGCGATAAACAAAATTCTTGTATATTCTTGTTTGTTTGTTTGTTTGTTTAATTGCATCATATTGATTCCCAGATTCTTTTGATGATAATAAAAATTGGACGCCAAAATTCTATGAAAAGGGTTTTGTAAATTCTATACTCACACACACAGTGTGCAGAAAAAAAAATCATTACAATTCCTATGTGTATATCGTGTATGTTGTTGTTGTTGATGATGTGACGAATAAAAATGAATAAAAAAAAACAACGTAATCAAATCTATAGAGAATTTGAATGATGAATAAATGAAGAGACAAAACAAAACAAAAACAAAAAAAAAAAACAACAAATACAGCACACACACACACACAAAAATTGGGTGGAAATGAATATAAAGACCAAGAAAAAAAAATTGAAGAAAGTTGTTTCGTCTTGTTTGTTGCTACTAAAGGAGACTAGATTTTGTAAATTTTTTTTTTTTTTTTCTCAAATTTTCAGGGAAAAATAATAACAGTTTTTCTCTCTCTCTCTCATTGATAGTCGGTATTTTTTGCTTGCATTTCCTACTTTTTTACCGTTATAATAATGTATATTATTATATGGATGAAATTGAACAGTCTATATGTGTGTATGTGTGTGTGTGTTTGGCTACTTACTACTACTCTGCTACTTTGCTAATACGGGATTGTAGGAAATTTTTTTTTTTTTATTTCTTTTCTCTTAAAACTATGCCCAAAAGCAAATAAGTATATGATGATGATGATAATATGGTGCAGGCAACAACAACAACAACAAAAAAATGCAGCGCACAAATATATCTTTTGGTTGATGGTATTATTGTGTGTATGTATGGCTGCCATATATGAACAACCAGCAACCAACAACAACAACCAACAAGCCAACCAGATAAAAAGCTAAAAAAAACAAGAATCAAACAGCAGCAGCAGCAAAAGGATCTATGGATCTGATAAAACTCTTAAAAAAAATGATCAAAATGATGATGAAATTCTAAAGAAAATAAAATTGTTTTTGATGTTTGTGTGTGTATGTGTGTGAAAGATGTCAACAACAACAACAATTGTCAACAATTTAGAATCTGTTTGTTAATTCTTTGCTGTTGTTGTTGTTTATTTTCAATTTTTTTTCCTGTTTATGTTTCTTGTGTTCTGTGTTTGTCATCGGTGTTGTTGTTGTTGTTGATCATCATCAACATGAATTCTCTCTCTTGGGTTTTTTTTAAATTTTAAAAATTTTCTCGAATCTTTACTTCCATCAATATTTATCATCATCATCATCATTTAAATAGTGTGTGTATACAGGCGCATGCGCCAAAACATGAAATGATTGTTCCAATGAAATGAAATAAAATAAAATGAAATGAAATGAAAACAAACATAGACAGAATTCTGCAATTCAATTCAATTCCATTCAGTGTTTGTGTGTGTGATGGGTGTACATTTGTGCATTTTAAATTTTCATTAATGAAGATTGATAATTAAAATGAAAATTTTTTATTTGTTTTATTTTGTTTTTTTTTTTTTTTTTGAACATTGAATTACACCTTAACTATTTGAATATTCAAAAAAAACTTTCTCTCTCTGTGTGTGTGTGTGTGTGTGTGTGTATGGTGAATTTCGTTTTTTTTTCACACTTATGTGTTATCGCACGATTGTTGTTCATCATATTTTCGTTTGTCTGTTGGCAACAACAATAGAATGTAATTGAATTGAATTGAATTTGAACAGCCTGAACAATGATGAATAAATAATGGGAAAAAAAAGATGTTGCATGTCATTTTATCATTTAAAATGAATATGGTGATGATCAAAATTTTCTTCATTTTCTTGAATCTTGATTCCATTTGTTTGGCTTGACGTTTTTTTTTGTTTTCATCTTCATCATCATCTTTATAGCATTAGCTGTGTTGATGGTAGTTGTTGACAACACAATACATAATAATGAAACAGTGGTGACAACAACAATAACGACGACGACGACAACGACGACTGCGACAATTATAATAGACACATTTGGTGTTGATGATCACCCAAACACACACATACACACAAACACACACACACACACAACTTTCAATTCTTCTTGATTCTCATTTTGTTCAGTGTTGAGAATTTTTTTTTCTCACTCACTCATTCATTCACTCAACTGACTGAGTGCACGTTTAATTCTTTTTTTTTTTTACAATTTTATTCATGTGTTTTGTTTGTCTGTTGGTACCAAAAAACCAAGAATCAATTTGAGTTGTGTGAAATTTTTTTTTTTTTTTGTGCACTTTTAAAAATTTCATGTCATTGTCGTCTGTGTGTGTGTCAAATCATTTCAATTCTTGTTTTGTCATCATTATCATTGATTTTTTTTCAAAAAAAAAACGAAAAATGAAAAAATATTTTGAAAGTCAATTAAAAATCAATCAATCAATCAATCAAACAATCGATAAATCCAAAATAAATGTAAAGAATTAAAAAGTTTCATTATTACATAGAAAAATCCATCACGATCCTATGTGTGTGTGTAGGATGATCGCGATTATTACCCGGATTCCATTGAATTACCGCTACTACCGAACTTGACATCTATAAATATCGATTTTGTTGTTTGGTGCGTGTGTGTGTGTGTGTCATTGATAAACTTTTTTATTATCATTATCAGCGAAAAAAAATCAGTGAAAAAAAATACAGAAAAAGAAACCACAACAAACTTTTACATATATACATATACCGAACAGAATCAAGAATATTCTTATTTTATCGAAAACAATTCTTCTTTATTTTTTTTTCTTCAAGTTGTTTTTATTTATTCAAGCTTGAGAATTGGATTTTTTTGTTTTGTTTTGTTTTGTTTTATGATCGGTCTGAAAACCAAACACTTGACACACGTACAGTGTCCAGTGTAATGGTCAAGTGTCCATGTTTTCTCCAATTTAATTTATACACCAGAAATAAAAGAACCGGAGATCTACCAGACAACAATCGACAACCATCAATAACAACAACAACAACAACAACAACAACAACCGATGATCTGTGGTGGATAATAAATTTGATTATTTCAATTACAATTTCACATCCATAATACATTCAAGGACGATTGTTTATTATTATTAAATAGACGAAAAAAGAAAAACATATTCAAATGTCTGGAACTTTTTCTTATTATTGACAAGAACTTTTCATTATTGAAAATTGAATTATCCATCCTCTGTGTGTGTGTGTGTGTGCGTATGGTTTTTTTACGTATTTTCCAAATGTGATTAAATAGCCAAAAAAAAAAAACACACAGACTAATTTAATGATTAAAGGAAGAAAAGACCGAAACGATAACGACAACAACAACAACAACAACAGCGAAGAAATTGATGAAGAAGAAATCATTAAAGTGGCCAATGATGATGATGATAATAATGATGACGAAAAAGAAATTTTTAAAACGTCAATTTTAAATAGACAAAATTGGCAACATTATCATCATCATACACAGCAACAGAAGAAGAAAAGTGGTAAAAGCAATGGAGATAATGATGATGCAAATTTTACTTATATTCATCAAGATGATGAAATAAAGAATAATAATGATGATGATGATTTTGGTTGCCAAGAAACAAATACAGACACAGATATCGTTTCATCATCATCTAATTTAAATGAAAAATCAAAAAATTTGTCATCTTCCACCACCACAACCTCATCAATAATTAAATATCAACCACAGCAGCTGCAAAAAAAATCATCCATCGATGTTGATTGGTGGCATTCAACAACAACAACAACAAATGAATCGATAATAAAGCAACAAAAATCTGTTAGTTTTGAAGAAAAAGATGATCAACAACAACAACAACAACAAAAACAACAACAACAATTATTGAAAAATCAAATGAAAACAAAAAAATTGAATAAAAATAAAATGTCATCACCAACATCGCCATCAACGACATCAACAACAACAACAATAAGACGAACATATTCAAATTCAAGTGCCAATAGTGGTAGTATCAATTTTTTCGATACGGTTAATGAAGAAACCGATGATGATGATGATGATGATGATGCGGATAATGGAAATAAAACTAACAACAACAACAACAACAACCAAAATCAATATGGATGATTCATCTGATCCGATAAACATAGTGAAAGCATTGGAAAAAAGTCTTGAAAAACAAAAAATTTTAGACATGAAACAATTTGATAATGATGGTGATGATGAAATGGAAAAAATCCATGATGATCGTGATGATGATGATGGTGATGATGATGATGAAAAGAATATTCTGTACCATCAATCACCACTACAATCAACAGCATCAATACAACGTCGAATGTATGCACGTAGTATTAGTTTTGCTGGTACACGTTCAACAACGGCATCAGCATCATCATATGGCCGTTTTTTATCATCACAGCTACAATCATCAAATATTATGGCTGGCCATCAACAATCATCATTAATACGTCCACGTGGTCTACTTTTTCAACGTCTTGATGGTCGTCGATTATTGCCCAGTATTTCTTGCGAGTAAGTGCTTGTGTCTATGAGTGTGTGTGTGTGTGATAAAATTTTTTTTTTGATTTTGCAAAAAAAATTTTGTATTTCAAAAATCCAACCATAGATGGCGTATGTGTGTACTAATTTAATCAAAAAAAAAAAAAAGAAAAAGAAAATTGATTGACTTTTATATATCGAACGCTTCGAGCAAAATTAACGAAATTATTTATTGATTTTTTTTATTTCTATAGCTACAAAATCTTCATTTCCGTTGTGTGTTTATAGTTTTTTTTGTTGTTGTTGTTATTTGGTTGTTGCATCATTTGTTTGTTTTTCATTGAATATTCTGCTATAACAGAATACCAACATCATCATTATCGTTTTTTTATTTGCTCAATTTGTTTTCGAATACTTTAATGATGATCATGATCATGATGATCATCGTGATGATGATAATAATAAAAAAAAGATAACGAAAAAGTTAATACGTTTTCCATCTGTATATAATATATATAATCACATTTGATCATATATGATAATACGGTTTACGATCACATCTATCCCCTTTTTGTTTATATATATATTAGCCTCACATTATTATTATTATTATTGTTTTCTATATTCTGTATTCTGTATATATTCTGCATAAAGAGAGCAAAAAATTCTGGAATTAGTTTTTTTTTCAATCATTTGGCTTGTATAAAATGATTCTTTCGTTTTTTGGACCATTCATTCATTCATTCATTCCATCAATATTGGTTTTTGTGTAAATAGAACGAAAAAATTCTTTTTTGCTGCGTTTTACGGCTTGTTTTTTTTTTTTTGTTTTTCTGATCATCGTTTGTCCCAATTTTTTTTTTGAGGCAACGAGAAAAAAAAAGTTCCAACGAAACAAGTTGACAAAGTGAATGGAAACTTTCTTAATTTTTCTAAATATAAAGTTTTTTTTTCTTTCTTTCTTTTTTCCAATCGTTTTTCAAGTTTTTTTTTCTATACTGAAGTCGAGTGGAGTGAAGTGGAATTGATGAGGGGTGGGAGGGGGGTGGTGAGAAAAATTTTTCAGAATTTTTTTTCTGCAAATGTTGGCAATTTTTTTTATTACTACTGCTACTTGGTCACATGTTCACAATGATGATAATGAGCAAATGAAAAAATTACTTTTACTAATAATCAACCAGTGAACTGAAGAATTTTAATGGCTAAAAATGGAAAAAAAATATCCTCGTTTTCATTCAATATGTGGTGTGATGTAGGGGCCATATTGACATTTACACTTTGATCATTTGTATTTGAATTAAATTAAAATGGAATCGAAAAAAAATGGAAAATAAAAGAATCGCTATCCATATATTTTGTTGCAATAAATTTCATGAAATTTGACAATTTTTTTTAACAAACAACAACGAATGATGATGAAAAAAAAAATTCTGCAACATTCATTTCTCTTTTCTTTTTTTTTATTTGTGCCCATAATGTTTCATAATGTCAAGAATTTTTTTTTTGCTTTCTTTTCTTTCTTTTATTCTTGAGCTTCCGCCAATATTCAGTGTGTGTGTGTGTCTGTGTTTGGTTGCGATAATGTCAATAACGGCGATTGTTTGTCTCATTTGAAAGGATTCTTCAGGAAAAAAAAAAAAATAGAAACGAAAATGAAAAGAAAAAGACGAACATCATCACCTTGTGTCAATAATCAGTCAGTCAGTCAGTCAGTGTTTGTGTGAGTGCATTTTCTTTTCTGTTTTTTTTAAATTCAATTTTCTGATGATTCAGAAAATATGAGTCATCACCAAACACAAATTCTGTGCAGAATTCATATGAATTCTTTCCGTTTTCATTGTTATTAAAATATCGATATGATGTCATATTTTTTTCTTCATTGAATGAATTCTTTATTCTTTATTCTGTTACCAAAAATAGAAAATAAATGCAACATGTCTGGCAATACGTTTTGTTTGTCTGTTTGTTTGTTTGAATAACGCGTATCCATCAATGATGAATCACAGTGAATGGCTATTTTGATATTTTCATATTTGTTTTGGTTTTCTTGGTTCACATAAATAAATAGCATCATTCTTTTTTTTTTTTCAAATTGACAATAACACTCAAATGAGAGAATGGAGAATATAATAAATGATGATTCTTATATTGAGATTCCTAGTGTGTTTGTGTGTGTATTTGAATCTATAATAAAAATGGAATTCTTTGGAATGGATTGTTTGTTCGGCATTTTGTTTGTTTGTTTGTTTTGATTTCGTTTTTGCAATCTAAATTTCTGATGATGATGATGATGAAATTTTGTTTCTCTGTAAACAAGGGTTGCCCTGGCAATTGATAATGATGATGATGATGCTCTAATTATAAAATCCATGGACAATTAACAATTTCTATGGAATTATCAAACAGAAAAAAAAATTTGATTATCACTCAGGGTCGTTTTGGTTTTTTTCTTTTGTATATCAAATTAACAATAAGATTAATTTTAAGAGATTAGATTCCAAATGATATCAAAATTGGAAATGAAAACAAAAACGTTCGATTCTGTTGCTGACAATATCCAATTGGTTGACTCGAACACACACACACATATTGTGAATGGCAAATAATTCTATGATGAACATTTTTCCATGTACCAGAATTTTTCATTATTATTATTATTATTTATCATACACAAAAAAATGAAATCAAATGAAATGATTTCAAATCAATTTCATTGTAATATACATGAAATAGAAAACAAAAATAAATAAATACACAAATAACCCAAATGGACGGATGCTTCATGTATTTTCATTTTCATCTGTTTTTTTTTCCTATTCAATAATAGAATGCAATCAAACGTGTGTACTGTGTGTGTGTGTGTGTGTGTGTGTGTGTGTGTGTGTGTGTGTGTGTGTGTGTGTGTGTATTGTGATGATGAATGTGTAGAATATTATTATTACCTGGAAAATTTCTAATCAAAATGCATGATAATGTGCACGCCACATGTATGAAAAGAAATAAAAAGATGATATGATGATGATGATGATTGAATTTTTTCTTTTTCATTTGTCATATAATTTGATTGGATTTGGAGAGAGAGAGAGAAAAAAAAAGAATATGATTATTATTGACAACAAAATGACATCATCATCATCATCAACAGCCAACCTGTACACACGCACACACACACACACTATGAATATGTTTCTAGAATTCTTCATGGATCCAACCAAAAAAAATCCATTGAAATGATACCATATCGGCGGCCAAATGGTTGTGGAAAAAGGACAGAATTTTTTTTTTCTTTCACTAGGTGAGAAAGTTTCCGAAAAGGAGATGCATATTATTGTCGTCCTGTCGTCTGGTAACCCTATTTGCTAGTTGATTGATGTTGACAATTTTTTTTCTTTCTTTCTCGTTGTTCATTTTTTCCCGGGTTTCCCACTTCTTCTTCACCATCACATAATTATCATGACATAATTTTGTATGCACACACACACACACAGACAGACCAGTTTGAATATCTAATAAAAATATACAGATTGTAACCAGTTCAAGTGTACCAAGTTTGAATTGAATTGATTAGAATTGATTGGTTGCAGAAATAATGATTCGAAATTAATGAATTTATATTGGACAAAATTAATTTACGAATATTACGACAAGCAAAAATTTGAAGATGAAGTGAAAAGAAAAAGTTTCATCTGATGAATATGCTTGTTATTTCATTTTATTTTTCATTTATTTATTTATTCGGATTCCTGAATCAATCTATTTTGGGAAAATGAATTCTCGGCTGCATTTTCATTGATTCATCGGTTTTTTTTGCAATTGTTTCTCTCTCTCCATGTATTCTAATTTTTTTTTTCTACTTGGCGATAAATACAAAACCAGCGGCAACCAATGGCATTCATTAATACGTTGTTGTTGTTGTTGTTGTATATCTGAAGATCTGGTCTTGACATTTTTCCATTGCTACTTTGATGTCATTATAATGATGATGATGATGATGGTGAATAATTTAAATATCCATTAGCCTGAAGGTAAATTATTTTTTTTGTGAGTGTGAGTGTGTAAATATGATGCTAATGATGGTTAGAGGTTTTTTTTTTTGGTGCGTGGTTATCAATTTTGTTTTTCATTTTTTAGGTTCAATTTATTTATCATTATTATATTACGGATCAATGTCTGTGTCTGTTTTTTTTTTTTTTGTGCTTTAGATGGATTTGATAAATGAAAATTTCCAAAACTTACACACACAAACACAGGTAGACACATTAATCTACCTGTTTTTTGGTAATAAAAATTTTTTTTTATCAGACTTTTTTTTATGAAATTGTCAATTTTTGTTTGTTTACTGTACTTTTCTCATTGTAATGAGAATATAGCCTTGGATTTTGTTGTTGTTGTTGTTGTCGTTTTTCTCTTCTTCATAATTGTTTACATCGTAAACAAGAATAATCTTATGTGTGTGTGTGTTTTTTGTTGTTGTTGTTGTTTTCATCATTTGATGCATATGAACAAAATACTATCTAATCCTTGGCAACGATATTCAGTGTGTGTGTGTGTGTCTGTGTTCCAGAATATTCATTATGATGCCTTAAGAATCGAATTTCTTGATATTTAAACAACAAAAAATAATGATAAAATGAACGAGAGATAAAAGCAAATAAAAAAAAATCGTTTCAGTCAACAACAACAAATCAAATCGATATATGACACATCTCAATATCTATTTGATTAATTAATATCGATTGATTGATTTTGATTTCTACTTTTTCATTATTATACTACTATTATTATTATTGCAATCAAGCTGTAGCAACAGCACAAAAAAAACTGGCCATTTTCAATGTCATCATGGATTACATGTTTTTTTTATGGCCAAGTTGGTGGCAATGGTGATAGTGATGGTGATATGGTGGAAAAAAAATTAAATCCAAAATGGGTGACAATTTTAATCAAAATTCTCGAAAAAAAACTTTATTAATCAATCGGTTGATGATGATGATGATGATGGAAAAAAATGACATGAAATCAATTTGATTGATTTTTATTAGGTTAAATTCATTTTATATCTGATCTGAAGATCAGGGAGATTATTGATTGAATGTAGATGTGTGTAATTTTTTTCTGGTTTTCTAACCAAAATCATCATCATCATCATCATCATTATCATCATCAAGTGGGTAGCAGCATACTTTCAAGCAGTACACACTTGTGATTGTCATAAAATTTAATTAAGATATATTTCAATGTTGTTGTTGTTGTTGTTGTTGTTGTTGTTGTTGTTGTTGTTGTTTTTCTTCACCATCATCTTTTTTTTTTTTTATGGTTTACAAAAAAAAATAATAAATGCAAATCACCAACAAATTCGTTTGTTTGCTTTTTTTTTGGCCACATGGCTAGGCTAGCAAACCTATGCATCTGGTGTATCCATTATAATGATGATGATGATGATAATCAGACCAATTTTTTTTCTTCATCTTCATCGTCGTCGTCTTGCTATTCCAAATTCATTTTAAAAACATAAATTTCAACACACACACACACACACACACAAATATATAGAGACTTGATGCAACACAATTATTTGTGTGTGTGTGTGTGTGTGTTGGATGCACTGACAAAAATATACACAACCAAAAATTTCAACATCATCAACATGTTATTATTTGAGTTTTATTCTCTCTCTCTCCATTCATTCATGTATGTTCCATTTTTATTATATTTCTACCATATACTGCTATTGTGTACATGTGCATGATTCTGTTTTTTTTTTTATTTTGTTTTCTCTAGCATACAGATACCACACACACGCAAACATTATAAAACATCATCATCATCATCATCAATGGTGTGTGCAGTATCATTCTAGTCGATCATTCTCATTCTAACACACACACACACACACACATGCAGACACAATTGGATACAATCACATGTTGGATGATACTTGTATGTGTGTGTGTTGTGAAAATTTTTTTTCATTTTTTGAAAATATGAAAAAAAATTTTTCTCAGTTGACAATCGATATATATGTGTGTGTGTGTGTGTGTGTGTTGATAAAATGAGAAAGAAAAAAAAACCTAGATATGATAAACAACATGATTCATCATATAATGAAAATGATGATGCACATCTGATTCAATCAAATCGATTCTTATCATCATCTTTTTTTTCTCTCTTTTTCTGGTTATAAGTTTGTGTGTGTGTGTGTTTGTGACTTGAACAAATCATCTTTTTTTTTTGTTTCTTTGCATCTGTTTTTTATTCTAGTCTGTTTGTTTGATTGGTTCCAATTATGATGAACTTTTTTTTTTTTTTTTTTGATCATCATTATTACTGCTGTTATTATTATTATTATAATGATGGTGATTATTATCATTGATTTCTATAGTGATAATGAGAATAAAACTTGTACGTCATTTGTGAAAACAATATATGTATTTTTATGATTTAATTTGATTCCACACACACACACACAAAAAAAATGAAACCAATCGAAATCGTCATCCGGTTATCATAAATTTTTTTTTTTTTTTTTTGACATTGTTTTCCTTTTTTTTATTCTGTGTTTTTTTTGCCCCATTTCTAATAGTGCATTCTTTCATATTCTTTGATTGACGAGCACACACACACACACACACACACACACACAGTCTCCAGTGGTTTTTTTTCATACAAAGCAATTCTCTTCCTCTCTCACACACACACACACAATAATCATCATCATCATCATCAAAAACTCATTAATAACCATTATTGAGTTATATATCAAAGTTTGTTTGTTTGGTTGTTTCTCAACCACATGTTCAAAAAAACAACAGCAACAAGAACAAGAATATATAACCATAACCATATATATTATGAATTGCATTATTTTGTAACAAAGTTTCGTCGTCGTCGTCTCTTTTTTCTCTTTCGGTGTTTGTTGTGTGTGTGTGTGTGTGTTTTGTTGTTTGTTGTAATTAATGGGCAACATTTATATATATAGATATATATAACTGATAATGATGATGATGAAGATTATTATTTTTAATGTTTTTTGTTTTTTTTTTTGTTTTTTTTTACTACATTCGTCCATTTCATTTTTTTTTCTGTTGAAATGAAATGAAGGAAAAAAATATGATCCATTGAAAGAAACTGTCTGTGTGTGTGTGTGTGTGTGTGTGTACTGGATTACTACCATTTCAATTTGTGTATCTGTGATGTGTTTGGTTATAAAATTTCATATTTAAAAATTTTTCAATGTTTTCTTGTTTTTTTGTTTACACACCATTCATCATTCATTTATTCATTCATTTATTTTTGTCGTCAATCATCATCAGCCACAAATTATCATCATTTGAGATCATTTTGTTTTTTTGTTTATTTGCCACCACCATGATGGTGATGATTTTTCATAATTTCAGTATTGGTGGTGGTGGTTTTTTTTCATCAATCAAATCAAAAAAAAAAAAAAAATATTTCCATGATGATGACAAGACACAAAGTCTATATGGCCAACAAATTTGTTGCTATTTCTATTTTCTTTTGTCATCATGATTCATATTGTGACATTCATGATGATGATGATGATGATGATGAATTGTCATCTTATTTAATAATTTCTTCCTCTGGTTACCGTATCGGGATCAAATTTCTTTCTTTTTTTTTCCATTCAATTTGACACAAATGAACAATAATCCATGTGTGTGTGTGTGTTTGTTTGTGAATGAATTTCAATGTTCATCCAATGGATGAAGTTTTGTTGTTTTTTTTTCATTTCTTTAAAATTTTTTTCACATATATATCGTTATGATTGTAATCACCATGCTATTTTGGAATACGTTAGGCGCATTCTGGCAATATATTCGTCAACAACAATATAATTTGCCAACAACAACAACAACAACAAATGTACGACAGCCATTCATGTCTAATGTTGTTGTTGTTGATGATGATGATGATGACGATGACGATGTTGATGTTGATGTGGATAACATAAACAAAAACGGCAATAGAATTGATGAATCAATAACAGAATCATCGACAACAGATGATTCTTTTATTTTTGATCAACATTCTCACTCACATCACCATCATCATCATAGAAATCGAAATAAGAATCAACAAATTTTTACAAACGATAGCAAAATAGCTAATAAAAACAAAATTCATGTCATCGATGAACATGAACAACAACAACAACAACAATCATCAACATCAGCATCATTGGAAAAATCGGAAAATATTTTCCTAAATCGTTTATTTAATTCAATAACAAATTCCATCGGAATGATCAATATGAATAAACATTTGAATTCTGTACAGAATTTTATGGATCGAAAAATGACTATGATGACGACAACGATGACTACATCAACAACTACAACGACAACGACAACGGAATTTGTAACAACATCAACGATACATACAATGACAGCCAAATCTAACAATAATAAGAGCAAAATGATGTCTAATATTTCTTGTGATAATCAAAATCAACAACAACAACAACAACAACAACAAACATCATCAATTGATGATGATAAATCATTAAATTCACAATGTGATCATCATGAACATCAACGTCATATACCATATCATATGTTGGATAATAATGATGATGATGATAATAATCAAAATAATCATCCAAATAATAATAATAATCATCATCATCATTGTTGCGATAAATATCATCCAATTGATCAATCATCCATTATATCGGAACCATTTTGTCCATTCATTATAATGCGTGAATCACCATCAAATGCAACTACCGTTTCGACAAATAGTTTATTAACACAGACTAGTAGTAATTATACACAATCACCATATCAATCAAGCATTGAATTTGATTTAAATTCAGATTGTATTTCTGATTTCGGTGGCTATACTGGCCATCCACATATTCGTCATGCATCTAGTGGAACATTATTGGTTGCCCGGCCAACTTCAAACACCACCACCACCACCAACACAACGGCAACAACAAAATCAAAACAACAATTTTTCAATAAAATATCATCACGTAGTGGTGGTAATACTACACCAAATAGAAATCTTTATTATTCTCGTCATCGTCATTCATCTTCAGCTGTCATTATGAATCATTGTTCGTCTTCTATATCTGGACAGATTTCTTCATCAAATTCTATTTATGGTTGTGGTGGTGGTAGTAGTTATGCCGGTGGTTGTGGTGGTGGTGGTGGTGGTAGTATTGGCATACCAATAACACGTAGACATCGTTCATCATATCCATCATACAGTATACGTAATTCTATTTCAGGTATTCCATTACGTATCGGTCCAAGACTTTATCCGGGTCGATCATCACAAAGGTTCGCTTATTCATTCGACGAATTTTTTTTTCTGCTTCATTTCCAAATTTGATTTGATTTTCTCATTTTTCATTCATTTATTCATTCATTAATCAACCATGTGGAAACATCAGATAAAAAAAATGAAAAAGATTCGCTGATTGAATTTTTTTTTTTTTTTTTTTTTGTTCAATTTTTAAATCAAATCAAAAAAAATAAAATAAAACTTGCTTTACCAGCGACCTCTGTGGATCGGATTTGAAAAAATAAAATAAAATAAAATACACATGCGTCATTTCAAAATGAATTCATTTTCAATTCTAGTGTGTATAGCTACCCAATTTTGAATGTTTGACTAACTGACTGACTAACTGACTTACTGGCTTTTTATCGATCATCATTCATTATTTATTCATATCGATTGATTCTCTTTTGATCGATAGAGATGATCCATTTGTATATATATGTGTGTGTGTGTGTGTGTTTGTATGTCTGTCTGAATCACATGTACATTGTTGTTATTTGCGTATGAATAAAATAAAAAACACACACACAAACAGGATGTCAGAGAAAAAAAAATTAATCGATGGAAAATGAAAATATCATCAACAGCGAGAGTGAAAGAGAAACAATCGATTGATTTTTTTGTTTTTATTTCTTGTACATCATCCAAAAATTGAATTGTTATTCATCCCCTAAAGCTATTTGATTATCATAATTAGAATTTAAATAGAAATTTTTGTCTGACGAACATAAACATACAAATACACACACACACACACACACACTAATATTTAATTGATGAACGTCATCTTATGGACTACTTTTGGACAATTTTATTGAACAAAAATTCATTGAGATGATTTTGAAGGACCATCAACGATAACAACAACAACAACAACAATAACAATAATAATAACAACAACAATAACAACAACAACAACAACAACAACATTTTTTTTGGTCATTCGCAAAATTGACAATTCATCTTTTTTTTATTTTCTTCAATTGTTGTTGTTGTTATCTTTATCGTTATCTATCCATCAGGGTTTTTTCGCCGTTGTTGTTGTTATTGTTGTTGTTGTTGTTATTATTCATTTCCATAGAAGTAGTAGTAGTAGTAGTAACAGCAGTAGTAGTATAAATAAAAGGATGAATGAATGGATGATTATTTGAATTTGTTGTTGTTGTTGTATTCATTCACATTCGTTCATTTTTTTTACATTTATTTGTTTGTTTGTTTGTTTGTTTGATGTGTATATATTTGTATATGTGTGTGTGTGTGTTGAGTGTGCGAAAAAAAATGGCCAATAAAAAAATGGGTTAGTAGATGACCATTTTGAAAAAAATGAAAATGAAAAAAACAAAAAAATTCAAAAACACTTTGATCACAGTGGCCATGATGTAAACTTGGTATCTTTGCTGCTGTGAAATTTTTGAAAATTTTTTTCTTTCAATCATCAATAATCAATAATAATAAAAAAATGTCACAAACCAAACAACATTATCATTATCAACGTAAAGATTTGATACAAAAATTTTTTGAAAAAAATTCCTCCACTATCCATCGTCGTATTTATATTCATACTAATAATAATAAAAGAAATTTATTACGTAAATGTTTTAGGTGTGACATTTTTTTTTCTCGTTTGTTGTGTGTGTGATTTTTTTTTTTTTTGTTTTTCATCTCATTTTAACCTTTAACAATGATTAACTTTGTTTTTGTTTTGTTTTTTTTTTTTTGCTTCACTTCATTTTAGTTTCGATGTGGATGAAAGTGGCCAAACAAATGCCGGCAATGTTAATGCATCGGGTCTTACGTTACAGAATTTACCTGTACGACGTGAATCATTTCTATATAGATCGGATTCTGAATATGAAATATCACCAAAATCAGCATCACGACATTCATCCATTGGTAGTGGTGAATCGTAAGTGTTGAACAAATTTTTTTTATAATTTTTTGTTGCGAGAATTCAAAAAAAAAGTCGATTAGCAAAAAAAAAAAAGCAAGCGCTTTTTATGTTTCGATTCTTGGCCACTAGATGGCCGATCATGTTCCAAGAAAATTTTTTTAAAAAAAGAATATCATTCTCTATTAACAATTCTGATTAACTATGAATAAAAACAAAAAAATAAATTGCATTTACCAAGAATCCAAAATGCAAATTTTCATGGCCATAGAGTTATGAATAATAATAATAATCATTAATATAGATCGTTTTGATTATTATTAATTTGTTCAATCACACACAAACATACACACATGAATATTTAATAATCGATTTTGGAAATAATGAAAACAAACTGACAAATAAATTTTGTATTTTTATCATTATAATGGATGGAAAATTACCATATAAACAAACAATAACAATGATCCATTCACCCTGTATATGTGTGTGTGTGTGTATGTGTCTCTATCACTATCTACCCACACATCCGGACATATATTTTTTTTTATCATTTCATTTGAATCCATCCAAATGATTATTATTATAATTTCCAAATTACAAACACACAAACACACACACACAGAGGGATCATAGTACAGAAAACAAACATATTCACCGTACTACAGCTACAATTTCAAACTTATTTATTCAATTTTCAATTTGAATAAATAATCATCATACTAATCAGATATCAGATATTTATCCACCAATAACCGTCTAATCTAATCTAAATAGAGACATCAAACATGTTTGTATATTGAATTGTGGAGACGATTTATTGATAAATGATTGACTTTTGATTTTGATTTTTTTGTTTGTTTTTTTCCAATCACTTTTCAATCATCATGATCAAATTGTTTGTTTTAATGAATTATCTCATGTTTTCACTCGCATACACATACACAAATCATTATCATTTATGAAATAATCATTCATTGAATTGATGATTGATTGATTATTATTGATGATGATGGATGAAATAATTGAAATGCCGAATTGAAAAAAAGTAAAAGATAAATATCTTGCATCTTTTCAATAAAGTGTAAAAGAGTGAGAAAAATCTGATAAACACCAATCAATCAATCAATCAATCAACATCAATGAATGAATGAATGAATGAATGGATGGATGCACATACGGTATCAATGACTTTAAAAACATTATATATACTTTACATATGCATAAAAATTTGTTCAATTTGTCTCGTTTAAAGATACAATCTCTCTCTCTCTTCCATATAAATACGTGCCTGTGTGTGCGTGCATATGATACAGGGTGATACTCACGCTTTTTATTTGAAAAATCCAAAAAAAACAGGATTTCATTCATTCATGGATTTTGATTTTGGAACTGAAAACATGATTCAATTCATTTGTTGTTGTTTAATCTGTCTATATATTATTTCATGTCTTGATTAGATTTTTTTCTGTTCTGTTTTTTTTCAAAGATTTTTCTTTGTTGCTAACAATCTTGAATTTTGATTCACAAGGCGCATTAATATTTAACCAGAATTAATGAAAAGACAACAAAAATGATGATGATGATTATCACTATCATCATCATCATCATCATTTTGTTTATTCTAACTAATCATCGATAATTGATGATAAAATATGAATGATATCTTGGTTGATTAGTTGATGGTGGTATTGGTGGTAGATATGATTGTAGATCCATGTATCATTTTCATATTCTAGAAAAAAATGGAAAAAAAAGCGAAAAGAAATTGTATTCAATGTGTATGATGATGATGCTAAAACGATTGTGTAAGCATCAACCACCCACACACACATACACACACATAATACCGTTCATAATATGTACATGTGTGTGTGCTGGTTAAGGGGTATCGTAGGTGTGCATTATTCATATTTTTTGTTTTGGAGAGCCTCATCACACTGTGATATCGAATGAAAAAAAAAAATAAACGAAAGTGCTGCCTTTTTTTTCTCAATCACTCACTTTACATATAATTGAGCTGTTAGGTTATATGGTTTTTATTATACAAACACAATCATCACAAGCACAAGCATCGATTATCTTGAATTGAATTTGTCTCTACTTTTTTTTTTTTTTTAATTTATGATCGATGATGATAACATGAGACAAATCATATTTGCTTTTTTTTCATTTTCGGGTATTTAAAAAGAGATCAATATTTGAATTTTGAATTGAATATTTCAGATCGTGTGTTGAAATGTTACAAACGAATGTTTTTTCTCCTAAATTTCGTGTCTGTGATGTTTATTTATTTTTTTTTTACCGCCCATTATCATCAATTTGTTGTTGTTGTTGTTAATATTTTCATTGTTGAAATGAACAAGCATTTTTTTACTTGTAAACATTTTCATCAACAATAAAGGTGTGGTACAAATTGCCATCATTGATGTCGTCACCATTGTCGTTGACAATTATTATGATGTTTTTTTTTTGTAAACTTTGAGCCAATAAAAAAAATTTATTCAAGATCAATTCATCGTGAGATTTATTAAATCGAATCATCCAATCGTATCATTATTATGTGTTTGCACATTTCAAATCGATTTTTGCCCTGTTTAAACAAACAAACAAAACGCACACACACACACAGAGAGATAATTATCTTTAAATCTTTATTTCACTCAATAAATGCATAACGGAAGCAATTAGTGATAATTTTTATTTGCATATCTCGTGTTTTTTGCATGTGTGTGTGTGTTGTTATTTTTTGGTTTTTATATCAAATTTGCGTGCATAAGAATTTTCGTTTTTTTTTTAATTGATGATAATAATGACGACGATGATTATCATTATATGATGATGATGATGATTATTATTCCAAACTTAGAAGGAATTTTTATAGAGTGAAAGAGAGAGAGAGAGAGAGAAAAAAGTTCAAATTTCAACACTAATTATCATCATCATCATTATCATCATATAATAATCATAATAATTGACAAATTGAAGAAAAACAAACCAAACCGAACCGAAAATGGCAATGTTTCCTTTTGGTGGTTATTATTCAAGTTCAGCACCAAACTATGGATATTCATCATCATCATCATCATCATATTCACATGTACAAGAATATTCCAATTTTTCCAATAGAATGTCTTTAACATTACTGATCCATAATGATAATGATAACGATGATGATGGTGGTGATTATGGATCAAAATTTAAATCAATTCATCCAAAAAATCTTCGAAAAAGTTTACCATTACCAATTATAAAAAATGATAATAATCGAATAAAACCATTGCAATCAAATCAACAACGACAACATCGACAACAAGAACAGAATAATTCACCAATTCTTTATGATTCTGGTGCATATTCATCATCAATGAGTTTATCATCATCAACAACAAATTCCACATCATCATCATCATCATATGAACATCCACATATGTCTAATTTATTTGAACGTAGAAATAGTTTTCATCATTACAACGGTCATGATCATCATCATAATCATCATCATCATCATTATAAAAATAATAATCATCATCATTGGTAAGTGTTGACAACAACTTTACTTTTTTTTGTTGTTGATTATAAAATCATCAACAAAAAGCGTGTCGTTTCGTTTTCAATTTACCAAAATTAAAACAGAAAAACAGAAAAAATCTCTCTTTCCATTGTGTTGATTTTTTTTTCTATTTTTATCCAATTTATCAAAATTCATCATTTTTTTAACAAAAAAAAAATCCATATTTAATCTATATTTAAACACACAGACTCATACATTTGTCGTTTATGATGACTTGTCAAGATCGGTTTTTTTCCATTTTGTTTTTTTTTTCGTTGACAACAACAATTAATTCTACAACAACAACAACAACACTAATATATATACGTCATTGAACGTATAATAATAATAATAAGTTTGTTTGATGATCATAAAAGAATGAACCGACTAAATAAACAAAACTTGATCAAAAATTTTTTTGTTTCTCTTTCTCGTTGATTAAATTAGAGATGCAAAGATTATATATATCAAATTCATTAATGTATATGAAATACAGTTATATATCGATTAATGAATTTTGATAAGTCATTTTAAGCAAAAAAAAAATGTTTGATTCTGTGTGTCGGTATCAATAATATTCTGAGATTTCATTACCATTATCATCATCATTATTATTTCAATTATGAATATACAGAATCTATGTGGTGAAAAACAAAAATTCAATTAAATCTCCATTCTTCAATTGTATTTCCTTTCATTTTTCACTCTTAGCTATTTAAAAAAATGCATAATAAATCTCACTATATATATGTAGAATATAACAACAACAGCAGCAACAACAGCAACATTCTATGGAATCGGAAATATGAATACAATGCCAACGATTCTATAGGATAAAAAGAATTTTTTTCCCTACATATTTTGAACAGAATGCATAGAATTTTTATATATATATAGCACTGAAAAAAATGGTGGTCACATATTAAACTTGGGTTGTTGGATGGAAACCACATATATTTTTTTTTTCTTTCTTTCTTTCTTTCTTTCTTTCTTTCTTTACTATCTGGAACCTTAAATTCTGAATTCTGAAAGCTCAGAATTCAGAATTTTTCTCAATAATGCATACATGCATGCATGTCTGTGTATAGAGTCTTTTATTTTTTGGTTCATTCGTATTGGTTATATATATGAATTTTTTTCTTTCACTAGATTCACATCTATGGATATGGGATGCTAGCGACATTTTTTTTTCCACACAAAACTTTGCCCTACCAATTGGCCAATATCAATGCTATGTTATTATTAGAGGACGATTGATTTGTTGTTGTTGTTGTTATTAGGAAAATCTTGATTTTGATTTTTATTTTTGTCTTGATTTTTTTGTTTCACACTTATTGTGAAACAAAACAAGAAAAATCTTTTGGTTTGTTCCAATAACAACAATAAAGTAGTGGTCACATTCACATACACACATGCCACTATATATATTGTATGTACTTGATGTTTTTCATTAGTTGATGATTTG